AGAGAGAGAGAGAGAGGGACATTCTCTCTCCTTTTCCTCTGTGTGTGTGTGTGTGTGTGTGTGTGTGTGTGTGTGTGTGTGTGTGTTTGTGTGTGTGTGTGAGAGAGAGAGAGAGAGAGAGAGAGAACAACGAAGTTCTTTCCGGATAAGGACGCTGCGGAATTATGGCATCTTTCTGTCGTGGCGTATTAAGTTGTCGGTTTTTTTTTTTTTTTGAGTTGTTTCGTTGAGTGACCGCGGCCTTTCAATTTGTCGCGTTAGGAAGTTTTGATATAGTGGTCTCTGACGGGGTGGTGGCGCTAGATTTCGCTGGGGCTAGCTGTTCTTTCAAGAAGAATTGGTAGCTCTTAGATTAGTGTGAGGGCATACTCACACTCGGACCTTTTGCTCTGATCTGTGGACGCAATTGCAGTCAAATTCATCTGAGAGTGGCCGTAAATGCTGTCAGATACATTTAGAAAAGTCCTCGTGTGAGTATGCCTCGAGTACGAAGTTTGTTGTTCACCGCGGGTGAAACATTCTTTTTCTCGTTGTTCCAAGTTCTCCCCTGGAGCTCGGTTCCATTATTAGCACACGAGTCATGGCCTATTATGACCTGTGCGGCACTGTTAAGAAACGGAAGAGAAGTAATTTTTAAGAAAAACAAAAAATGGCGACGTCACATTTCTCAAGATCGGAAGGAGGCCGCCTTTTTTTTTTTTTTTTTTTTTATTGAACATTCTTGCTTTTTGATATCAAATTACCGGGAAGCCGGTCCGGCGTCCCTTACAGATTGTCACAGCCCCTGGCCAGCGCCCAGCTACTCCGGGGGCGTCCCTTACAGATTTTCACAGCCCCTGGCCAGCGCCCAGCTACTCCGGCCGGGTGCAAGTGCTGCTGTCCGACTAACCCTTCAGTCTCCTCCCCCTCCTCCCCATCCAGCCAATGCTTAATCGGGAACAAGGTCCCGCCAATGCTTAATCGGGAACAAGGTCCCGCCAATGCTTAATCGGGAACAAGGTCCCACTTGCACAGACTATGAGATTATGGCCGTTGATCTTTGCTATCTACAGTCAATATGGCATAATTCGTGTAAGTGGGACCTAGCCCCGGGACACAGTGGTAAGTGACTGTTGCAGTCTCACGGACCACTGCGAGGGAGTCCCTTCGTGTGCCTGATGGGACTCCCTTCCCTGGCGGTTGCCACCTTGGTGTCCCTGATGGGACTCCCTTCCCTGATGGTTGCAGTTCTTATCTTTTGAGAGAAAAATCGAGTACTCGATGGGGCTGCAATTGACTGGGAAAAAGAAGGCGTTCAAAAACATGCCCTTCCAGTACTTGATTTTTTTAAATCTTTTGAGGAGCTGCCAATAAAAAAGTCTTTCTACTTTCTTTTTTTTTCGTTTTTTTGTTATTATTATTATTTTTTCTTAATTACTCCATTCTATTGGTGGGGAGCTGCACCTGCCGGAAAATGGGTCGAGTCTCTTGTATCATGAGTGTACATCAAAAACAGACTGCCAAACTGTCTTGTGGGAGAACCAAGTTCTCACTGAGTGAAACCCACTTGTATTCTGAGGCCCAGGCTTTCAAAAAGGACTGAGCCAAAATAAGGGAGTCCCTGCTTTCTTCTTCCTATATTCTGCCAAAATCAGATTTCTAACAGACAGCTTGAAGTTGTTCCAGATCCTGGGAATTGACCATGAGATCCCGCAAAATCTACGATCCCTACGGGTCAACCAGAGGACCCAGAAACCAACAACTCTGAATTTATTTGCGATCCGGCTTCTTGAACTATTGTCCTGATCTCCTAAGAAGATGAAGTCCTTGGTCCAGAAATGCATGTCTTGATATGCAGCAAACCAGATTCTGCCTACACAGTCCCAGAATCCTCTGGCCACCACACATTCTATTTTCTTTTCCAGCCTCCCATTCTTGGGAACTGAAAAGAAAAAGCACAAAAACAAAAGAAAAACACCACTTCAGAATATAAATCTATGGCAATTTCGCTGCTGTTGGATTCTCCTGCATCAGTGGTTGGAGGACCGACACTTTTTCTGAAAAATGATGGTCTGGATAATGAGTTTAGACAAGAAAAAAAAAACGCAACCTGAGAGGAAGCCGTGCCCCCCAGTCCTCGCTGAGGACGGGGCATGAATTAATGGGCCCAGCTGCACTGAGGTAGACATTCACAAAAGACCATTTCTCGATTTATGCGTGTCATCCTTGCGCAGGGGCCATGCTAATCTTCTCTGTATCGTTCCAATTTTAACGGATGTCCCGAAGGACACATTCACAAAAGACAAAACATATGGAAGTGCATCTTTCCATGTGTTCTTGCGGAAAGTTCATTGTTGAATTCCACCTTTGGAGACATGTGCAAAGAGGCCGGATGGTGAAGGCTTTCCTTTCTCGAACAGACCGTGGCCATCTGGTGATGAAGGGTGTATTCCCTCTCCCTTTTTATTGGTTCATCACCGCCGTATCTGAAATGGGACTGGCTGGCCCCCTCTCTGTAGCTTGATGTGCACCGCCCCAGAGAGGAGGACTCACAGACCACCTTCGACAAAAGAATGTGAACATGTGCACTGCCCCAATGGGGAAGCACGGAGTACACCACCTGCCTCAATAAGCCAAGGTGAAAGTGAAAAGAATGGCGTTGCCCTATGATCCATGGAAATCGGCGGTGGTAAGGAGTGTCACACAACAGGGAGGTCCCCACTACAGGAACAGGAGCAATTCGAGTGGGACTTGGCCCTGGGTACCATGAGGAGTGTCCCCGGTTCAGGAAGTGTTTCTTTTTTTTCTTTTTTTTTACAAAAAAGACTCTGCTCATTAGATTGAAAAAAAAACAAAACGGGGTGGCCGGAAATCCCTCCACAAACAACCCGGAAAAGGGAACTCTGGGAGCAATACCCAGTGTAGGTGCAGGTGATGGAATAATGTCCAGCAACAGAATTGGCCAAATCCAGACCGCTGTCCTGACGAGATCCACCACAGCTCCAGGAGCACGGTTCCGCTAGCAAAGGAGTAAGGTAAACTGTGTCCCACAAACACCTATGGGATGCAGGAGAATCTGATGGCAGAGAAATTGCAATGGATTTATATTCTGAGGTGGTGTTTTTTTTTTTTAGTTTTTGTGCTTTTTCTTTGCAGTTCCCAAGAACGGGAGGCGGGAAAAGAAAATAGAAAGACTCATTTTGATTGGCAGCTCTTCAAAAAATCCAGTACTCGAAGGGCATGGTTTTGACCCCTTTCTTTTTCCCGGTCAATTGTAACCCCATCCGGTACTTTATTTTTCTATCAAAATATATGAACCGCACGCTTCAGCATGGCAACCATCAGAGAAGGGAGTCCCATCAGGCACACGAAGGGACTCCCTCGGGGTGGTAAGTGGGACTGCAACAGTCAGGTACCACTCTGTCCTGATTAGGCATTGGCTGCGTGGGGAACAGGGGGAGAAGACGGGAGGGGTAGTGGGACGGCAGCACTTTCAAAAGTCGGCCTCCTTCCCATCTTGGGAAATGCGACGTCGCCCTTTTTTTTTTTCAAGTCTTTAAAATTACTTTTCTTCCTTTTCTTACAGTGCCGCACAGGTCCTAATAGGCCATGACTCATGTGCTACCAGTGGAACAGTGCCCCGGGGACCTCACAATTTGACCCGGATATGCTGGGGCCCTTACCCAGCTTAGGCTGAAACCAAACATACTGGAAACTGGGTCCAGTGTCCCTTTCCCATAAAACTACTACCCAAAGAAAAATAGTCACATTGCAGCGCATACTCCAGTGGGGAAAAATAGCCGGGAACTAACTAAAACAGATAGGCCTTTTGAACTGAGGTTCAGGATTCACCAGCCCTGTCTCCGCCGGATGGTGGACCAGGACCTCCATTCTTTAGTAACCATTTAGAGAGTGACAACTCGCCATCCTGCGAGACAAAGGCCAACTGATTCCGCCGCGACCAAGTTTTGATGAACCAGGGGCGGCCCTTGCCCTGGCGGCCTTTACCAGTTTCCACTCTGCGAGAATAGTAAGCCTAACGCTTGAAAGGATCTTATATTGTTGCTGTTGGAGCGAAACCTTTACACCTCTGAACACCATTGAGTTTCTTGCTTGCCAGATGGACTGCATGTAATCATAACCATGTAGCAGAAGAGGATAGTGTATGTTCAGCCGTGCGTCATTCTAATGCCCTGCCGGTGTCCATGCGCAAGGCTGCAGATTTGAACCCACAACCTCATCTCACAATGCGCATTTCCAACCGGTGCTCTAACCACTGAGCTACATCAACTGGACAACCGAACGGATTTCTTTGTAGGAGTCCTCCCCCGATAGACAAATCGTTAGAGGAAACCACTGTAGGGAAAATGCACGGAAGAAAGAACCACGACTCTACCAAATATAGATAATTCATAATTGCGCAGCCAGCCCCGAATACGGCTCGTGGTCGTGTTAGAAAGCAACTGGTCTTGCGTGCGGGAACAGTCAGTCAGCGAGACCTGTATTCCCACGAGGCGTTGTGATG